TTATATTCTCCTACGGTTGTGGCATTGTCTGGTTGGGCTTGATACAAATGAAAGGGTTTGTATGTTATGTAAATGAGGTATAGGGACTGAAATCTACTTTGTCTTTACACGCCCTACTCTTGATAACTTTAGATTCTGTATATACCAAAAAAAGTACTTAAGTAAACCTCCAGAAATTGCATTCTCTTCTGTTTTGGACCTCTAGAAATGATACCGATATGTTATACCTGTCATTCTACCATATGACTTCAGTAAATACTGGATTGTGATTTGTTAATTTAAGTCATTCAGATTTTCTTCTCCACCTCCTCTTCCTCCTCCTCCTCCTCCTGCATACCCACGTTATTACAGCGCCTTAAACGATCGGTCATCCCTTGACCCAAATTGAGCTCGTTGTCAAGATGAGCCAAAAACATGAAAGTTCACCCAGTTTCTACTGTAGTGACTACAAGAACAAGTGGCAGTCTGTAGCCAAGTTAGTCTTTCGTTCGCCAAAGTGAAAACGAGGTTGGGAACAGCGCAAGGGGTGTTATTGTATTTGATGCAGGTTAATCCAGATACTGATAATGTGCTCCATTATTATTCTTGAGGAATGTTTGTCAGGATCTTGAAAATGAGTCTTAACGTCATACGACAATAGCTAAAATGAGTCTTAACGTCATACGACAATAGCTATGGGCACTAGAAAACGAGTCATGTTTTGCTACATTTGCTTCTCTGAATAAACTACTGTGGTTCATTCTTTTTGGCGTTTAGATCTGCCATTTAACTATTCCTTGATGTTCAGTTTATGCAGATAGGGAGTTAAATTGAGGTTGGGATAAGTACCTTTGCTCTGGTCATGTTTAGGGCTGCGCAATATAACCGGTTTACTGGTATTTACCGGTTCAGACATGAAAACGATACGTATTGCGATACGCTGATCAAAAACCGGTATTTTGACTTGCATTCGGAAAACTTCGTAACACTCGGAAATCTTCGGAAATGTCCTTGTTTCATTTGTGCCAAATATTATTTACATTTCTATTTTGTCATGATTAAAGATTGTTGTTATAGCTTAATCATGCATAGTTTTTTTGTTGTGTTTTTGCTCTAAAAGTCCAGCTTTAACGCGATTATAAGTCGTTTTTCGATTAAAAATTCTTCTTGCAATATATTGCAATACAATTTGTAATATCACATTGATTAAGTGATAGTTTTTATGGGTCACAATGTTTAAAGTTTTGAGTTTGGGTTTTGGTTCGCATCTCGCATCATATATGTTCAATGGCAATGGTAGTTTTAGCGGTACGCCTTTTTATAGCACTTCAGAGTTGCCTCCCTTGACTGCTTTTTTTTGTTTTGACTTCCGGTCGTATGTTCGAGAAAATCCTGCATCGTTTTGAGGGGAAAATGCATTATAAAATGACCTTTATAGTACCCATACAAATAATCTTTTGTGAAATAAAGACATCACTAAAAACACAATTATTTCGTAAATTTCTAACGTTTCTTCACCCAATCTGATTTTCCGTTGGTGTCAAACAAACACATCATGTTATAACATTTCTTGGGAAATCTTGATGCAGGCATATTCAAGAGCTTTACCCAGTATTTGATAACTTTTATCTGTGCTTCTAGATAAAGAGGGAAGCGACAGCATTCACCACAGATCATCACATTTGGGGTATTTGATTTAACTCCTAAACGTTTTTACATGCATACAAGTAAAACTTGTCCAATACTTTCAAACGAGAAAAACAACAAATTTATGCCTCATATAACAGAATTGGTTTGTTTCAAATATTTTGAAAAATGTTTTGAAATTTACATTACCCAATTTCTTTATATTCCTGTAAATGCCCATAAAAACCTTTCGTCCCTGGCAACACTATTTGCCTGCTGATATCATGATAAGGCATCGGCAAAATGGACACCTAGATGTGTATACCCTTCAACAACATCTAAGTATTCTCAGTTGTACAAACTCTTTTCTGATTTGGACAATTTACCGCCATTCTTAAAGACTTAAGAACTTTTGTTTTATTTGTATTTATATTAAGCTTAAATCCAAGGAAATGGCTTCCCAACACGGTAATGTGTGTTTGCAGACCCTTCACGGTACTGATGGCATCATCAGCAAACAATAACAAAAATACCGTAACAATATCCGGATGCTCACGATAAGCATCTCTACAATTCATTTGTATACAGCCTTGGGGCACGCCGATATTGCAATCAAATGTTGATGACATGACACCATTATTACGCAAACATGCTTTCACTTTGTTAGATAGATTGCATAATAGTTGTCCAATTTTGCTACTCAAGCCGTCCTCACTCACTCACCCCCACCCACCCACCCCATCTCTCACTCACTCACTCACTCACTCACCTGGGACCAGCTGGACATGTCGCTGTGTAACCAACGGGGGCTAAAGACAAGACCCCTGGAGGAGGAGACGTGACCATGGTGGGAATACCTGCTGGTGTGTATGTGGAGATGACAATCCTGAGACTGGGGTTCGAACCCGACCGAACGACAACAAGAATGCATGTAGCAGGCGCCCATACAATCCATGAGCGAAGGCGACTCCGTCACCCCGAGGACATCGTGGGGAAGATAGACGTTTTTGAAGGTGACCTCACTTATATCGAAACACAGGGATACGTCGTCGGTGTATACGTGAGAGAAGTCCAACATCAACAACAGCAGCAGCAGCAGTAACGGCATAAACACCATGATAGTGCCAGTTAGTGCACGACTGGAAAAAACGCCTGACACACTTACTACCTCACGCCGAGCTGTCTCCCGGTCTCAGGAGCACACGTTGGGGATGTCTAGTTGTTTTATGGTGTCAATACTTCAGGTTCATAGGCATTCTCATCGTAATGGAAAGATAAATAATTGTTTTAATGAGGACGAATGAAACGTTATCCTACGTAAAAAATCAATTAAGATTACAAAATGTTACAGTATCATGAATGTTTAAAAGATGGGCATTCTTCAGGCATCAGTCAACGATGATGCATACAGTGTAAAACCAAACGGAGTACACTGTCCTCAAAGATGGGTGTGACGCCCAACATGCCAATCATTGCATATCCCGCCCTCGAAGATAGGTGTAACGTCTCAGATAGGTGTGACGTCTCATCAGATAGGTGTAACGTCCCAGATAGGTGTGACGTCTCATCAGCTAGGTGTAACGTCTCAGATAGGTGTGACGTCTCATCAGCTAGGTGTAACGTCTCAGATAGGTGTGACGTCTCTTCAGATAGGTGTAACGTCTCAGATAGGTGTGACGTCCAACATGTGAGTTATTCCGCGGCCGCGACCGTTGGAGTAAGTAAGTTTAGTTTTACGCCGCCGTTAGCAATATTCCAACAATATCAACTCGGGGGGACACCACAAATGGGCTTCACACATTGTACTGATGTTGGAATCGAACCCGGGTCTTCGGCGTGAGGAGCAAACGCTTTAACCACTAGGCTATCCCACCATCCCAATGCAGTTGAAAAACGGAGGTAAAAGTCCGGCGTTGTAAAGAATGTGCAGCGCAAAAATAACGACATCTCAGCTTATCAACTTATCAATGTTTCATCACAACAACATTACGGTCAAAACCCGTTCCTGTCAAGAGGGGTGGGGTTACCTCACTTGCAATGAGAGACCCGGATGGGACCACCATTTTGTGCTGATACACACAGAGGACGTGCATTGAAAACGCCAGATGACTGAAAACATGCTGCAGGATGTTTTTCCCCAAAATCAACCGAAGAGGGGTTCAACTGAGTTCAACTCAGGCTGCTTCTGGCCTTGTCCGATGCGGCGGTTTTTGTCAACAACGGCCATGACAGTCCAGTAATGTCATGTCGTCTCACGAAGACTGTTACAAGACGTGCAACGTGTGGGCAGCCATTATTCTGCGACAACGTTTCGTCTTTGCATTTTAATAAAAGAGTAGTGAATGAGTGAGTTTAGTTTTACGCCGCACTCAGCAATATTCCAGCTATATGGCGGCGGTCTGTAAATAACCATGTCTGGACCGGACAATCCAGTGATCAACAGCGTGAGCATCGATCTGCGCAATTGGGAACCGATGACATGTGTCAACCAAGTCAGCGAGAGTCTGACCACCCGATCCCGTTAGTCGCCTCTTCCGACAAGCATGGGTTACTGAAGATCAATATTCTAACCCGGACCTTCACGGCTTTAAGAGTAGGATATGATATCGAGCAATGTCGAATCGGTAGCACACACACTCCAAACAGCCATTAATAATAAGTTGTGTTGTGTTGTCCCATACCATTACACTTCCATCCTCAAACTCACGACGTTCTCCTGGACGCCTGTGTCAACCCTTGAATGGCCATCAGCTGCCCGGATGTAACCTGGACTCACATGAAACAGAATACATGAAGCGTTTGTCCGTGACATCCGGCCCTGCCACTAAATACCCCCAACCCAGGACTTGTCGAAGCTATCAGTGTGGCCCTTTGGTATCGATTCCAAAGATACAACAATAAAACATGGTTGTCTCATTGGCACATGGATGGCTGATGCGTGGCAAAGAATGAGTGTTTCCGCGCCTGGAAAACGTCTCCAAGATGTTTCTGACATCACTATGTCTGTGACTGTGCTTCCATGGCCTTTTAAATCTCCAGACCTCAACCCCATCCAGCATTTGTGGAATGACCTCTACCGACGCGTCCCAAACGGTAAGTTAATTGTCGCAGGCATTGCAAGAGGAATGGTTCAGAATTCAATGACCTATTCAGTTATAGGGGCTCATGGCGGCCACAACAGGTATTGAAAACAACAAGCAACTAGAAACGCCATCTCTTATTGATCTTTTTAAAGCTGTTCATGTTCACAGACATTTGATCTTTTATACTGAGAAATGTGGTTGCAACGTATCCTGAATTACATGTGTTATCTCACTTAGGACATAGCAGATTAAATGTTTGAAAATATACCGATGCGTTTTGGGCGAGTATATATCGAAGGACACATTATTCAGTTTCTGATTGAATATATTTTTATTAAACAGTATACAAAGCACAGCTATTATTTTCCGTCAGTAGAGGCAAACGATCGGGACATCAGACCACGTTCCGACACAACTTGTTTAATCCAGTAGTTGACGTCACTGACGTTGCTCTGTGGGTGGTGAGGCGACTGTAACGTCACCCCACCAGGACGTGGTCCACCACGAGTTGAGAACCTGTTGCAAACATTCATGTATTGAGAATAGAACCTCAGTATGTGCATCCTGATCATATTAGGGATATCTAATGGTTCACAACAAGCAAGTTCATATTCCAAACAAAGCACGTGTACTGTACAACACATATTTCCTGCTCGCTGTTGGACACGAGCTGTAGGACAGTGTCAATATTGCGTTTCATCAAACATTACGTGAACAATGTCAATATTGGGCTTTATCACAAATTACGTAAACAATCTGTATGACGTCATCAGGGACATTGCGCTGTCAGTTACACAAAGTATGTCTGGTCATTGTTACACGTGTGTTGATAAAGGATTTATATCTTGGCTTTCTAGATTTGCAACACGCCATTCTTTACGTTACGGTTAAAACATCAAACAAACCGATACGTCCACACAAGACGGTGTAGTGTGAGTATTATATAGATGTACGCCGCTTTGGCCATTAGTTTATCCGACACCAGATGGATCAACAGAATATACCCGTGGAACCTAACCAGGAACCGCATGCGAAGTGAACTCTAACTTTAGTGACCCTCGTGAGCACGCACCTGTTCCGCTGAGAGATACAGTGAGGTCCACCCCCGCCTGTCCCAGAGTGAAGTCCTCCTCCCGGATAACCTTCCCATGATGCTTCACTCTCAGTTTGTACTCTCCCTTGAAGGCCCGTATGTTCACGTCCTGGTCACGTGATATCGGGAGGGTCTGGTTGGTTCTCCAGTCTCCCCACACTAACTGGCGAACTATCTTGCCCGCAGCGTTCGGCTGTAGATATATGTTATATCTTAAGGCAACGATGACAACTTCTAGTATGTTGCACTAGCGACCTATCGATAACTTCTTTGAGTGGCATTTTAGAAGTTGGGAAATACAATATAGAACAAACTTTATGGATAACAACTTCTTTTTATTCGTGAGTGCTACGTTTCGATACAGATTCTTGTACCGTTGTCAAGCATAAAGGCAAGGGGGAAGTATATATATATACTGAATGTAACAATGTAACAAAGAAAACAACATATTTAACATAATTGGCTAGGCAGTAAACTGTTGAAGCCAGAGAGTAGACAAAGGACAGGCGTGGAAGCCAATGATGTACAAATAATAATGAGATGTTTATACAGCAGAGTTTATACAGTAAATTGGGCTTGGTGGATGAGTGCATCATGGGCGGATGGAATGAAGTATCCTTGGTCTCGGTTGATGGTGGGCTTTTGGCGTTTGATGTGGATGGCTCCGGTGAGCTTGCGTTTAGTGAAGTCTGTTTGTTTGTTAGCGAGAATGGTGATGTCAGACCACTCTATTTGATGATTGGGGCTTGCTTTGATGTGGTCGGAAATGGCTGATTTGCTGTCGGAATTGGTAACAGAGGTCTGATGTTCTTTCACTTGGGTGTTGATGGGTCGGGACGTTTCACCTATGTAGTAGCTCTGCCCACAATCACAGTTTATTTTGTAGATGTCACAAGTAGCACCCGGTGGGAAGGTTGACTACCTCCGGCACCAGATCTGCAATATTCTTTACAAGGCCCACCACAGAAGTCCAATATCACACCATCAGAGAAACAAGCCATCAAACAATTGAGACAAGACCCGGACATCGTCATCGCCCCAGCTGACAAGGGTAAGGCCACCGTTGTTCTAGACAAGGACCATTTCCACACCATGGTACACAACCTGCTAGATGACACCGCCACGTACAAGAAAATCAAGAAGGATCCTACTGCCATGCTGAATCGTCAGCACACGTCCATCCTAAAAGTCCTGCCCGATAAATTTGAACTCTCTACAGACCTGTATCACAAACTATCAGTATCCCATCCTCAGCCGACCTATGCTCGAGCAACTGTCAAGATCCATAAGAATCCTGTGAAAACCCGTCTACTAGTCTGCTCCCGTGATACGGTGTTTTACAATACTGACCAGCACCTTACCCAAGTACTCTCTCCTTCAGGTAAATATGCCACCTCCTTCATCAACGATTCAACAGACTTCTGTTATGTTGTTTTCTTTGTTACATTGTCACCTTCAGTATATATATACTTCCCCCTTCTTCATGTTCCCTTTATGCTTGACAACGGTACAAGAATCTGTATCGAAACGTCGCACTCACAAATAAAAAGAAGTTGTTATCCATAAGTTTTGTTCTATATTGTACGACCTATCGATGTTCAATCGTAATACATCTTATCGATGTAGAAACGTCGCTAAATGTTCCAAACCAGAAATTAATATCTATTAAGTTGGACGTTTTTTGTTTGATTTTCCCACCACTGTCCAACTTGTAGAATGTCAAGAGAGTGTACTATCATTTCTTCTGTAATAATTGTATGAAGTGTAACCGTTTCCTAAGTATGGAAAATGTTTACATATGACCTTCACCTTCAGATAATAAAACACTTCATGGTTTGTCCAGTTTAGGTCTTATGATCAAAACGTCTGGGAATAGTGCGGGTAATGATATCAAGCTATCAAGAGGCTGGTTTGAAATATTAATCTGGTAAAGCAATTAAAATAGCGAAGTATCCATAACTCTGTTTTAAAAATGTCGTTATATCTAATGACCTCCTGGGAGGACACTTGAGGAAACCCATCTGGAAGTTATCAGCTCTTCTTACTGCCCTCATAGACAGTCCCGAGATCCATCGTTCTCGTGTTACAGATAAGGGTTCTCCTAGATCGACGTTACCGTGACGTCTGGCCCCGAGGTGAGACTGGCGTTGGGCTTCTTGATTCCTCTGTCCCAGAAGTGCCACTGTGTGATCCCTTCCACTGCGGGGTGACTGAAGTACAGGCGGTACAGGGACTCATACATCCGGGCCTTCTTCACCACATCCGGCTGGTTGACGTTCAGGGCGGCGATCATGATTGGCAGACCCACCTTGGCCACTTGATCCAGCCGGAACTGTAGAAAAGACCTTCAACACTTTGCAAGCCACAATGATAATTTAGCCAGTGACACTCTCCCAGTAGATAGTCTTCACTGAATGGCAAAAGTTGGGGATCCTGAATGCTCTGGGGTATATGCTATGATATGAGTGTGTGCTGGGTCCTCCCTATAACCATATCCCCGGAAATATTCACGTTCCCTAACTTTGTTCGTTCATGAAAGAAGAATTCACAAACTGTAACTGTCGCCACTGTCACATCACAACTACGACGACATGTTGAGACACCATTTGACACAACGGTTACATCACGACTATCACATTACGCCATCAGTGACAGAGCGGCACATACTCACATATTTACGCAGACTCACATGTTTACACTGATACATATCATCACTTTCACTCACATCCTTACACTGGTTCACATTCGTATACAGGCTCTTCATATGAACGCACATACGTATAGACTCACGTACCTACACTGACACCCCATGGTACCTACTAATCTACCTTCAGTTGGTGGCGATGTTTTGCCCATTTTTATGTTGGAATGCCATAAATGACTCACACTGACTCACACAGACACACACAGACTCACACTGATTCACACCGACACACACTGACACAATGACACACACTGACTCACACTGACTCACTGACTCACACTGACGGCTGCCAAGTCCATGTCCTCCTCGAAGTGACTCTGTATCCCCACGCCATACACTGGCACGCCAGCGGCCAGGAAGGTCTTGGCTTGGTCGACGTAGGACTGGAACATGAGACGTCACTGTAGCTGCAGCAAGTCTACGTGTCACGTGACTTCAGGATTGCCATGGCCGTATAAACAATATATGACAGTATCTTAGTTTCAAACATAAGTCGGTAACAATTCTTGCTATGAAAACACGGTTCAGACACACCCAGTAGCAGAGGACATGGAGATTATTCCTACCAGTGTGTAGTGGTGGGTCTTGCTCACGATGCCGAAGTCGTTGAGGAAAAGTTTTGTGTTGGGGTCGGCAGCGTGAGCCTTTTGGAACATCCACATGGTGATGTTTGGATCCTGCAGATGCTGCTCGTAGAAGTCGTTGTGTTGGTTTTCGTTGTTCACGTCCCAGTGCAGGACTCTGAAAAACACATGTGAAGCTGACACGAGTCGCGCCACAACCTAACCCAAACAGTTAGGTCAACTGGTGCTTTAGCCGGGGTATATCGGTCATAACATTAGGCTGTATAGTTGGAGGTAATCTGAATCGTGTCCCGCCACATACACCTGAAAGATAACATTGGTCTTAGCATCGACTTCGTTTGGAAAACCTTTTTCAGGGTAAGTGTAGAGGTGGACGTATGCCGATCGATAATGAGATACCAATACAGACACAAGCTGTTCCCCTGCAGACAGTGCCACTGGAAGAAAATATAATCTTTAAAATAATTGAAAGGGTGTACATTTTAACATTATAAAGGTCATATGTACAGCAAGTGTTGGTCCAAGTAAAGGCCAAACATTTTCAGGTTAGTAGGGGTACACGTGTTTCTCACTATTTGTAGTGATGTTGCATGTATGTTACGTACATAACGTCAAATCTTTCAGGTTCTTACATACAAAGAAAGTGTGGATGTTCTTCAATGTCATTGGCTCAAGTACGACCTCGTTTACCTCCCCTTGAATCCTCCAATCACTTCCTGGGTTCGCCTCTCCATGATAGCCCGGATGTCGGCGGCTGACTTGTCTTTCAACCAGGTGGGAATATGTTTGGGGTTGTCCCAGAACAGATTATGCCCCTCTATCTTCTTCCTAGCAACATCCAGCATTTTGTCAACAGCCAACCATATCCCAGCTTCGTTGTTCTTAATGCATGGGAAGTCAAAACGTGCACCTGCGTGGATCATGTGATCTGTCGTGGACAGTCACTGAGAAACTGAACTGATACTATGGATACGGCTCTAACAGGTACTAATACTACACCTATGGCTCTAACAGGTACTTATACTACACCTATGGCTCTAACAGGTATTGATACTACACCTATGGCTGTAACAGGTACTCATACTACACCTATGACTCTAACAGGTACTCATACTACACCTATGGCTCTAACGGGTATTGATACTACAGCTATGGCTCTAGCAGGTACTGATACCACAGCTTTGGCTCTAACAGGTACTGATACTACAGCTATGACTCCTAAATGTACTGATACCACAGCTATGGCTCTAACAGGTACTGATGCAAAAGATATGGCTCTAGCAGGTACTGATACTACTCCTATGGCTCTAACAGGTACTGATACTACAGCTATTACTCTAACAGGTACTGATACCACAGCTATTACTCTAACAGGTACTGAAACTATAGCTATCGCTTTTACGGATGCTGATACTACATCTATGGCTTCTAAATGTGCTGTTACTACAGCTATGGCTCTAATAGGTACTGATACTACAGATATAGATCCTGCAGGTACTGATACTACAGCTATGGCTCTAACGGATGCTGATACTACAACTATGGCTCCTAAATGTACTGATATTACCCCTATGGCTCCTAAACCTTCTGACTCTACAGCTATATATGGCTCTTACAGGTATTCATACTACCCATGTGCTAGAAGAATGTCCACCGTCTTGTTCACTTTGCTGTAATCAGGCTGACCCTTAAAAAAACAAGATCATTTTGAAAAAAGTATCTGACCACACCAACAGTAAGTGGGATCTCAGGGTGACTGAATACATTCACTAGTGAGACCTAAACAACCTGGTAGCGTTATACAGTGGTCAGAGACACGATCAGTGAGCCCATCTTACAGTGTGGGAGTTACGACATCATAATACAGCCACACCGTTTGGGAGCATAGGTCAGGTGAGTGAAGTTCAAAGGGGGCGGATATGCAAGGTACATATTCGGTTAGGGTGGAGAGGAAAACAATGCACCGGGAACGAATCCCCATCCTGACACCGGCAAATATCCACCCGTTTCCCGTCGAACTAGTATCGTCGTTATTTCAGCGACACCTGATGTCGGTATTGTAACAACAAACAGAACCTTCGAGTATTCGAGTCTAACCATGAGACTTGTTCTGTTCAGGAGTGTGTAAGTGGAGGAAGAAACATCTCACCTCCCGCTTCTCGGACTGATGCCACTGGAAGCCGTCGGGGACCGCCCACTCGAAGTTGTTGTAGAAGTAGTCGCGGTAGGCAGTCAGATTCGGGTCCAGGAACAGATTGGAATCCACAGCTGATCCGGTTATAAACTCACTGTATGTCTGAACCAGCTGGTGGAGAAGCAGACAGTCATCACTTGACGCATACAAACGGGCGTCTACCTTCATCTTTTCACCAACTAGTCAATCGGTCACCAATCACCAATATTGTCACACCTTGCCCGTTCGCTCGTCACGCCGAAGACTCGGGTTCGATTCCCCACATGGGTACAATGTGTGAAGCCAATTAACAGGGGTGGAAATAACTATAAAATTGCTAGTGTACTCCTGTACAGTGGCACATGTAAAGTCACTTGCCCTGATAATGTTTCCACTATACCGACTGTTTTCTTGTTGATTTTTTAAATAAACAACATAATTAACATTGGAAAGTCAACTGGACACCGGTACAGTGTGATATACAAATTTGCTTGCCCGACAGAAAAAACCACTTGACTCGGACGTCGGGCAATGGGTTATGTCCACCCCTGTCAGTTTCTGGTGTTCCCCGCCGTGATATTGCTAGAAAATGGCTAAAAGGGGCGTAAAACTACACTAAACTCACTCACTCACACATAGCCTCCTTCCTAACCACCCTCACTCTTGTCCTTCTCTCAAGCTGTTCTCAAAATGATGTAAGTCCCTACAAAACTTTAAAATGTCTTTACTGTCCTATCAAATCGTTCCTACTTCTGTAATATGTTCCACGGAAACACCCAACGTGTGTCCCATCTGCCAGGGCTGAGTCCTTACCACAGAAATGAATTTCACTTTATTTCCTTAACCTCATCAAATATTCCCCTCTTTCTTATAAAAGTGCCCATCCCCTATTTATCATCCAAACCATCTCTGTCTGTTCATTCCCACCCGTGCCTGTACCCATGCCGCCATCTTTGAAAAGCCTACGTGGTCGAGTAGATAGAGCACCATGGTGCGGAAAGTCGGAGGTTCAATCCCGACCGTGTGATACCAGTGACAGACCATCGTTGGGATTGTGTACTGGGGTTTGGCATCACGGTACTACAACGTGACTGGTTGGCTGGGATCAAAATGGGATATCAGTCTTAAACTGGTGTGATCCCCAGGGAGCTGAGATTGATACGATGTGCCATTTGAGATTAACATCCAATGATATTGGGAAAGACAAAGCGCCTTTGAGCAGCTGAGCTGGATATTGGCGCTGTACAAATATTAGCATAACAGCATACTAATAAACTGTGGCATTAAATTACTAGTCTAACGCAGTTAATCCACATCCACCCACACTAGCACAAGTAACCACAATAAAACGGAAGTCTCATGTGTAAAACTGAAACAGGACTCTCGGAGCAACTGAAGAACTGTAAAAAGGTTACCTCCACTTCGAGCTGATCAGCAGACAGCCCATGTTTGTCCAACCTTGTAAGGAAAGAATGGATTTGTAATATTGTTGTAAGGCATTGCATTGCGTACTGCAAAGTGTATAGCTCTGTTTGGTAGAGTGTGTATAGCATTGTTTGGTAAAGTTTGGCATACTGTGTGTAGCAACTATTTGGTTTACTGTATATGGCATTGTTTGGTATAGTTGAGCATAGTACTGTTTTAGTACAATGTAGGGGTGGGTATTGCAGAGAATTTTCATATTCCGATATATTGCGGTGCGGAAGCATATATTGCGATATGTATTGAAATATATTGCAAGGATTATTTTCTTTAGCAAAAACTACTTATAATCGAGTTAATGCTTGATTATAAAGCAAAACCACAACAAAATATCACTATGATTGATTAACCTTCTATAAAAACTTTCAATCATGACAAAATAAAAATGTAAGTAACATTTGGCACTAATGAAACAGATAAAAGAACAATTAAAAAAACGGAAATATCCGAAGATTTTCCAGTGTTACGAAGTTTTCCGAATGCATGTCAAAATACCGGTTTTCTATCAGCGTATCGCAATACGTATCGTTTTCATGTCTGAACCGGTAAATACCGGTAAACCGGTTATATTGCGCAGCCCTAGTACACTGCGTATAACACATAAGCAATTCAATCACTCACTCACCTGACTGTGACATTTGCTTTCCTGATCTTCTCAATCCTGTCGTCTGCTTCCGACCGGAAGTTAGTGAGTTGTGGAACTTCCGTCAAGATGGCTGTATCCATGAGAAAGTCCACCTGAGGTGGTTCCACGTCGATTGTTATCTCTGCACTCTTTGTATCTACAAGAACATGGTTGTTTCTACAGACCTGGGGTATGATGACCAATAATTGGCCATCAACCTCGGTAATGAACACAACATACCTTTCACTTCACAACCTGGCTTTTTTGTCATCACTCTCAGTCACACACCACCTGAATCACTCACTCACTCACTCACACCCCGCCTCCATCACTCACTCACACCCCACCTCCATCACTCACTCACTCAATTACACCCAACTTCCATCACTCACTCACTCAGTCGCCAATCAAGGGTTGTGCCACTCACCTGTAGGTACCAGGTAATCCCCACCTATGGCGTGCCATCCCGTGTGCAGCTGAACGTACGGGGACCTACTCACGATGTCATTTGTACGGTGACCTGGATATAAAATGCAGAAAGAAACAGAGTAAGTGATGGTTGAAGACATGACGAGATTAGCTCAGGAAGCTCAGCCAATCAGCTTTTCAACCAGAACTCACACTTTAGAAAAATAACAATTACGTTTTTGACCCAAGGAAGATATTCCATGGTCTTAATATACGCGTACATACATTCCCATCCTGTGTGAACAATATGTAATCAAATATATAATATATTATATGCATGTCATATGGTGGTCATGTGGCCTTACCTTGTGCGTCAGTGCGTGAGACCTTGATATCCATACCATGGTAAAGGTACCCCGGGTGGGTGTTGAGCAGCTTCACATACACCCTGAAGAAGTAGCGCTTCCCAGGCGTCACAGGCGCCAGCAGGTAGGGGCCTTTGGACTTGGACCTGACAAATACGGACCTTGTTATAAACCACGCTACACAGTGGTATTCACACTTACATATCTCCATCCTATTCTATCTTACATATCTGTGTGGTAGTTATAGTCTGTTTGCGGTGAAAACATACCGATGAATATCACTTTTAGCAAAAACGGAAATCAAATAAAGTGAAATTAAGATTGCGAATCCTCATAATTTTACCTTGCCAATTGAGCATTTAATTTTAGAATTTTATTCCACTTAGGATAAAAGTTGTTTAACAAACGATCATAGATTCAAATCGATATTACTGGTTTGTATTACAATGGGGTAAGCGCAGTAGTTGGAACAGTGAAACAAATGCACGTGTTGTACCTGAAGAGCGTTAACTTAGAACAACCCTTGTCGTTCTCGGTGTTTCATTTGATATGCATACCCCCTTGTAATACAAACCAATAATAGCGATGTGAAACTATAATCGTTTGTTCAACAACTTTTTAAAGTGGAATGAAATTCTGAGATTCAAATGTTCAATTGGCAAGGTAAAATCATGAGAATTCGCAGTCTTAATTTCATTTTATTTGTTTTACTTTTTGATTTAAAGTGAAATTCATCAGGTGACCTGTGAGATATCATGACGCCATGTTGACCTTTGAGATACCATGAGGCTATGCTGACCTGTGAGATACCATGACGCTATGTTGACATGTGAGATACTAAACCTCTTTCATACCTGTGTGATACTAAACCTCTTCATACCTGTGAGATATCATGACGATATGTTGACCTGTGAGATACCATGACGCTATACTGACCTCTGTGATACTAAACCTCTTTCATACCTGTGTGATACTAAACCTCTTCATACCTGTGAGATATCATGACGCTATGTTGACCTGTGAGATACCATGACGCTATGCTGACCTCTGTGATACTAAACCTCTTTCATACCTGTGTGATACTAAACCTCTTCATACCTGTGAGATACCATGACGCTATGTTGACCTGTGAGATGCCATGGCGCTATGTTGACCTGTGAGATACCATGACACTATGTTGACATGTGTGATACTAAACCCCTTCATACCTGTGAGATACCATGACGCTATGTTGACCTGTGTGGCTGTCCGACGACGCTGTAAGTTGACACTGGTGACATTTCCAAATATGGGAAAAGGAAGAGCTCTCAAAATCTGCATTCTGCAACAAATTAGTTTCGCAATGTGCCCCGCACATGAACAGCAGTAAAACACACGCGAACTGCAGCATGTCTCTCTACCACCATGTAAAGCAAGATAACATACTTGTGTGAGTCTGTCAATACATGACCCCATGTCGCACCTGTCTGACTTCCCATCTCCCGATATCGGGATATATGAAACTAGGTTGCCCAACCCACACACTAGCAATCTTTCATTACAAAAACTGGTCTTTCAGGTGACAACTTAGTCTGTCTCACAGTCCCTGAACCACATTAATTTCCCTACTGCCAAGCCCTCTCTGCTGTGCTAAAGCCCTAAATAAAGCAAGTCTAGATTTCCTCAGAATCTCTGGTCTCCCTAGGGCTCCTTTTCAATATAAATGGGCTTGTTTGTTACTATCAAAATTAAATATATTCAGAGACTAAGCCTTAGTCTAGTGACAACTTATACGGCCAGTGCGCTGCTGTCACCAACCATCCAACATATCAAACATACATATTTGATGAATGAACTATTACAAAAGTATCACATTCAATACAAAAGTGTCACAACTATGGATGTTCTATATCTTTAGTTATATAACAGTGTAACGGGGACATCTTACTGAGATTTGCATTAGTCGTTGAACGTCAGGTGACCATAGATTCTGTTAGATGATTGGCCAAAGCGCCTTCCTGTCCATCACGCCATTTACCGTGAAAATTCAAATTCATGAATTTTCGCTTGAATCCGCCTCCATTTCAAGACAATCCAGGATACGACGAGCCATACTCCTATGCAAACGTCCAAGGTCAGCTCGCTGAATTCCATCACATTCTTCCTGCAGCGAATCGCCAAGTTCGTTCAGAGTGGTCCGTGGTTGTTGACGGTGACATACCCGCCGTTCAAGGATACCCAGACATGTTGGCTAGGTGACAAGTTTAAACTAAGTGCTGGCGATGGTAAGGTGGTTATGCTCTCCTATAGGAGGTACTCAGTAAACTACTACGAGCCCTGTGTGTGCCCTTCCGTTGTCAGTCGGAAAAACACAAAATGATCACGTGTGACTCCAGGATACTGTCGCGGTAGTACTGCCCCTTGACACTTCCGTCAATAACATGTACAGGTGTACTACCCGTCACATTGTTCCCATTTCACACCATTAGTGAGATCCTATAAACCAGCGTTCTGGAGACACGTCAACACAAGTCTACAAACTGAAGACACAGTCAGTATCTTGTATAACCACCGCCCACCTGGATGACGTTTTGAACTCTCGTCCTCATTGAGTGCACAAGATGCTGAATCCGATGTTGGGGCAACCTGTTTGCAAAGTTTGCTCAAATTCATAAATATTCTTGAATGGCGGATCTCTCTGACGAACCTTGTGCCCCAGAATGTCCCAAACATGCTCGATAGGATTCAAACCTGGGCTTCTGGCTGGCCTTAGACGGGTGGTAATGGTTTCTTGACTGCGCAAGGTGGCCATGAAGATTGGGCTTGTTGATAGGGGATGATTGTCGAAATGAGCCACTACATGCCTCCTCAAGACTTCCTCTTGGTATCATTGTCCATTCAGATTTCCTCTTACTGTGACCAGCTGAAGTCTGCAGTCATACGACACACAGTCCCATCCCATCAAGGATCTTCTTGCAGGATGTTCCTCTGCCCATATGTCATGTTCCTCTGCGCATGTCATGTTTCTCTGTGACCACACGCGCGTCCTTCCGTCAGTCACAAACAGCAACAACCAGCTCTCGTCTGAAAAATGGATCTTCCTCCAAGAAGTCAGGTTCCACTGATGCGGGTCATGGCACCACCGTAATCTTGCATCCATGTAGGCACGTGTCAACAAAGGTTGTCGGACAGGTCTCCTGGCCTTATACCCTGCTGTTTTCAGTCGATTTCTAACAGGTTTCTGACAGAGTTGCTGATGTGGAAGTCATTAAAGTTTTAACATTGGACTTGGTTCAAAGGGAAAGAATCGCTGAACAAATCTAACTGGGGCTGCGTCTTGTCTAGCTGATCTTGTGTGGTCTGCCTGAACGATGCAGATCCTTTACATCCTTTGTTTTGGTGATATTTCCTCATTAATCGACTGATTATTGAAGGGGTGGTGACCTAAATGCCTGGCAATTTGTTTCATGGAAAACCCGGCATTAACCATACCTATAACTTGCCACCGTTTTGTTTTAACACAAAGTGGTTTAAGACAATAAGTATGCGTTTTAGCTCAGTTTTCTAACAAGGGTAAATGAAACTGTATTTTCACGACACGAGGGGTGCAAGTGTTTCATATGCTCCAAACTTGTTACCTGCACCACGTGTTTCATGATATATTATTACGAATTTCTATTTCATTGTATTTGACTATTTCTGTTCTGTGTAAACTCTTTTTGATTTGTTGTGATTGCTTCATCACAGATCAGGTGTGTGTCAGAGTCGTCTCATGTGAACACAAGTCAACCCGACAAAAGGAACAGGCAGCAGCACACGATATCCGAAAGCGTCATACAAATTCACCATGACAAAAAACAACACACCAAAACACCACACTCACTCCAAACACCACACACACCCCAAACACCACACACACCACACATACACCAAACACCTCACACCCCAAACAACACACACCCCAAACAACACACCCCAAACAACACATACGCCCCAAACACACACCCCAAACAACACACACACCCCAAACAGCACACACACCCAAAACAACACACACACCACGCACACACCACACATACCCCAAACACCAAACACACCAAAACCCCAAATACCACACACACACAAACTCCACACACACACACACCAAGCAACACACACACACACACACACACACACACACACCATACACACACACATACCAAACACCACACACACCAAACACCACACACACAACACCACACACTCCAAACACACACAGCAGCAGCATGAGTGGAGGAGGTGTGCAGTCCACCAAGCAATATGCTCTCTGTGGAGTTTACGTTTCTTTGTGTTAAAAGATACAACTTCTGTAGATGTATTTATTCAGGGAATTCGAGTCAGTAGAGCGTGTGATGATAAAAGGACACCCGTGTCGGTGTTCACCCGATTATAACCTGGGACACCTGGGGTTGTGTTCCTGAAACACACAAAACGGTGGTGCGTGGATAAACGTTTCTGTTAACATAAATCGCAAAAAAAGAAAGTTACTGTCACTACATGGATGCGTTGGAAAAGCATTAACACAAATCGAAGATAGAGAGTGACGAGGTAGCTTACCTGTTCCGCTGAGAGACACAGTGAGGTCCACCCCCGCCTGTCCCAGAGTGAAGTCCTCCTCCCGGATAACCGTCCCATGATGCTTCACTCTCAGCTTGTACACTCCCTTGAAGGCCCGTGCGTTAATGTCTTGGTCACGTGATATCGGGAGGGTCTGGTTGGTCCTCCAGTCACCCCACACCAGCTGGCGAACTATCTTGCCCGCAGCGTTCGGCTGTGAACGTGAAAATGACCATCTGTTTTCGATGAACACATACGAAGCCGATACTTATTTCTTAATTATTTAATATTCAAGGTGATCAAGGGAAGCGATATGTCTTGTTCCGACTTACATGGAATGTTCCTTTCTATATACTCATGAAGTATATATGTTTACTTACTGATGTTTTATGCCGTTTGATAATGTTTGATTGTGTGAGCACAGTCATTTTCCTTTCGATCGGGTCACTGTAAGTTGGTGTTCATACGTCAACATAAGTCAAACACTTACTCTTACAATACACGCAATGTAACATTCTCCTTTCACATAAACCATTCCTTGAGTTTGGAGGACTCGGACTCAGCTGACCACTTAATGATCCACCCTATCCCACGCCTTGGCCTACACAGCGAGGTGATCTACTAAACTCTGACCTTGGCCTACACCGCCAGGTGACATACTAAGCTCTGACCATGACCTATACCGCCAGGTGACCTACTATGTTCTGACCTTGACCTACACCGCCAGGTGACCTTCTAAGCTCCGACCTTGACTTACACAGCCAAGTGACCTACTAAGCTCCGACCTTGACCTACAGTGATATTTGGTCCGTCCGCCAGCACTGCCTGTGGCCTCCAGGTCCTTCCGCTCCAGAAATGCCACTGCACGACTCCTTCGACGGCGGGATGACTGCAGAAGAGTATTATGTGGTTGGCAAACAGCTATAACAAACTGTCAACAGCGTTCTGTATCCATGTCACAAATGGTCCACGTTTCCACAGAATCTGATCAAACAATATGGTGTAATGTCGGAATTCAACATTCTTCCACCCAAATTGAAATAATTCCCTAACGAAACATTATTTACACTACCAGGTGAAATGCATGATATGAAACATGTCGAGGTCCTATATGGGAGACCACACATGTCAGTATACAGGTCCCACCTGTAGTACAGACGGTAGAGATCCCTACATGGGAAGATCACACATGTCGGTATACATCCCACCTGTAGGATGGTAGAGACGGTAGAGATCCTACATGTAGGGAAGATCACATATGTCAGTATATACACGTCCCACCTGTAGTACAGACGGTAGAGATCCTACATGGGAGACCACACATGTCAGTATACACGTCCCACCTGTAGTACAGACGGTAGAGATCCTACATGGGAGATCACACATGTCAGTATACACGTCCCACCTGTAGTACAGACGGTAGAGATCCTACATGGGAAGATCACACATGTCAGTATACACGTCCCACCTGTTGTACAGACGGTAGAGATCCTACATGGGAAGATCACACATGTCTGTATACACGTCCCACCTGTAGTACAGACGGTAGAGATCCTACATGGGAGATCACACATGTCAGTATACACGTCCCACCTGTAGTACAGACGGTAGAGATCCTATATGGGAGACCACACATGTCAGTATACACGTCCCACCTGTAGTACAGACGGTAGAGATCCTACATGGGAGACCACACATGTCAGTATACAGGTCCCACCTGTAGTACAGACGGTAGAGATCCTACATGGGAAGATCACACCTGTCGGTATACACGTCCCACCTGTAGTCCCACCTGTACAGACGGTAGAGATCCTACATGGGAAGACCACACATGTCAGTATACACGTCCCACCTGTAGTACAGACGGTAGAGATCTTACATGGGAAGACCACACATGTCAGTATACACGTCCCACCTGTAGTACAGACGGTAGAGATCCTACATGGGAAGATCACACATGTCAGTATACACGTCCCACCTGTAGTACAGACGGTAGAGATCCTCGTAGATGCGTGCCTTCTCCTGCTCGTCCGCTGTGTCCACATCCAGCTCTGTGATCATGATGGGTAGGCCTGCTTTGGCAACTTGGTCCAGACGGAACTGTAGACATACAGACACAGGTATACTAAGACATAAACTGATTGAACAAACTCAGCCTTGCTTGTAACGTTTCTTTCAATACCTCCCGTGTTGGTGATAATACATTTTCCAGTAGGCTAGAAATTGACAGGGTCATATTCACCAGCAAGTTCCTGTGCCTGTTGCGTGTCCCAAACTACAGTTAGTGCCACGTCGTGGACATCCCCTACCTTTACCAAGTCTCATGGCCAGTTGTTGTTGAGAAGGACTGACCTTGACGAAATATATTATTGTTTGTGAATATATTGAAATATTGACCTTGACGGCAGCGATGTCGACTGGGGGCCTCATGTGACTCTGTATCCCAACACCACCAACAGGTACTCGGACTTCCGAAACGTCGTGGCCTGATCCAGATATGCCTGCATACACAGATTAGCGAGGATTTTACGCAAATTCCACGTTGACGAGTCTACATACATGCAAATGGTTTGTTCCTAAATCTCCATACAGCGTCGCAATCCAGACGTTTGCTAGAGCTTTGATTGAGATATTTCAAGAATATAATAATTGCAAGATATTACACAGACATACCCAACAAGTTTGAAATACCACATAAATAGATAGGACTATTCCGGAATTTAACAAGTTTTCCGTAGTGACATGTGCTTCACACAAAACACAATAATTGTCATAAAGATTATTTAATCTTACGCAAAGTAATTCGGAACTATTCTTAACCTATTTTGAAGGGAAAATATTACTTACGAAATTGTGGGGGGCCTTTTTACTACATAATTCGTCAACGCCAACGCCGGAGCTGAAGTTGGCCATACCTTCCGACTGGTCAGTTACTACTTCTAGTTCTCCCGCTTTGTTGCGCTGTCCTACACTACACTTACGCGGCAGAGCCCAATCTACACACTTTTGAAACCCGGATCAATCAGGACGGACAACAACAAAATTAAACCTGAGCTGAGAAGCTTGCTTAAAATTGAAAGTTATCTTACAATGGGTAGTCTCATACATGCTTGTCCCGAGTAAAGATGCCAACACACATTTGACTGGTACAGAAAGCTCGTACATCAAACACGGAAAAAAACTTTCACTGTCCATCCTCAATACTAACGAATGTGTCATAATGGCTGTTGACGATGTTGTAGTCGTTGAGGAAGAGTTTAACAGCTGGGTCTGCTTTATGTGTCTCTCTGAACATCCACATGGTGATGTTGGGGTCTTTGAGTTTCTGTTCGTAGAAGTCGCCATGAAGATTCTCGTTGTTCACGTCCCAGTGTTGGAGTCTAGGGACACAGACATCCATGCATACAATTACGAAAATGTACGAATTGGTATGTAAGAATATGCGTGTGTGTGTGCGTGTGCGTTTGTTAGTCCGAGTTACAGTTGCTTCAGTGCTTGTCCATTCCTAACGTCATACACATGTAACTCTATAAGGCTAACGTCACACGTGCACCTATACATGGCTAACGTTACACACATTTAGCATTTCTATATGGCTAACGTTATATACATGTAGCTATACGGATAACGTTACACACATGTCGCTCTATATGGCTAATGTCATACACACATGTAGCTCTATATGGCTAACTTTACACACATGTAGCTCTATATGGCTAACGTCAGACACATGTAGCTCTATATGGATAACTTTACACACATGTAGCTCTATAGGGCTAACGTAACACATGTAGCTCTATATGACTAACGTCATACACATGTAGGTCTATATGGCTAACGTCATACACATGTAGGTCTATATGGCTAACTTTACACACATGTAGCTCTATATGACTAACGTTAAACACATGTAGCTGTACATGGCTAACATCGTATATATGTAGCATTAAATGGCAAACGTTTCAGGCATGTAGCTATGTTCTGAGCAGTGGTGAGTTGTCACACAAAGAACAACTGAGTGACACAGAGAACACAGATATAGGAGTACAGAAAGCGGACAAACTGACAACAATGAACACACACAAGAGGTACGGGATACAGCCAAACAACTTACTTCCCCTTCAGTCCCCTACAACCCCCTGGATTCATTGTGTCGCCATGAGAGACTTGAGCTCCGCTGCAGGTTTATTGTACTCGCCATTTGGGAACAGCTTTCTTTACGTCCCAAAATATGTTGTGACCTTTCACCTTCTTTCTGAAACACGGTCCCAATGTACAATGACGTATAAATGTTTAACATGGATAAAAATGGTGTGTTTTGAAGGTTCATAGCAGCCAAAAGTACCACTTTTCTTCACACAATGTCCCGTAAACCATATACCCGCAGCTTCACACATATCCCTGTGTGATGGTATGTTGTCCTGCTCCTGTGAAACAAGAACACAAGGAACAACATTGTACAGTATAAAACGTCATTGGAGAGATGATACTGATACCAGGTGATTGGCAACGTCACAAGCTGTAGAAGAATAGAAGCATAATCCTTCTCATGATCGTAAAGAGTCTTCACTAGAAGAAGATTCGTTTTACAATACCGCCTGTACTATAAAAGACTGTTTGGGGAATCCCTATCCAAGCAGTCATTGCACAACAACAGATGGTAATCCAAATGGTGTAAAGAATCTGAACATCTGGCATCCTACGACCATTACGACAACGTCTCTAGACGTACCCGTGCTGAAGGAGGGCGTCCACGGCGGCGAATGGGACTGAGTAGTTGGCATGTCCTGTGAACAGACACATTTCCTTCAGATATATATGTGTGACAATAGCATCCCTCTTGGTGTCGCTCGCTTGGTATTGTCCCAAACCGCAAGCAGTATAACATGTTATCAAGCTATATGCAAATACTAGTACATGATGTCATGTTACATGCAAACAATATTACATGCTATCATGTTATATGCAAACAGTATTACATGCTATAATGTTACATCCAGCACACGTCATACTAGTGCATTTTGATGTTTTGTATTGAACGAGAAGATGTCATGTGAGCAGAGAAACAACAAGTTCGAATACGGAATTCGTATTGCACCCCTGAATTACTATCCTAAGTTTACATGGGTATATAATAATACAGGTTATCAAACTACATTCCAAGAGTATTACATCAGATAGTGATATCACGACAGACTCACCTGTATGGTGTTTTTTAACCAGCGATTATGTAGCTGGGTTTTTCAAAGAGTACGATACTGGGGAATAATCTATGTACAGGTAGCAACATCCACATGTGAGGAACACGTCTGTTGTTTTATGTTCTTTTCCAAAGCCAACATATACACATGACCCAAGACTGAAGTAGGTACAGGTACATGTGTTCTAATCCAATGACTTCAAGCGTTCTGTGGCAGCGGGTATGCATCCATGAACAGAGTCGTAATTGTATTACACAATGATTGTTTCTGTTAAGATTCAATGGCGCTGGTACTGTATTAGGATGGAGGCCAAGGCTACTGAGAAACCTTCTAGAGCAGCCGGAATAATCCAGCACAGGCTAACCTGGCATGTTACATACTAACCGCAGCATGTTACACTAACTAACCTAGCATGTTACACACTAACCTAGCATGTTACACACTAACCTAGCATGTTACATACTAACTCCAGCATGTTACACTTAACCTAGCATGTTACACACTAACCTAGCATGTTACACTAACCTAGCATGTTACATACAAACCTAGCATGTTACACACTAACCTAGCATGTTACACACTAACCTAGCATGTTACACACTAACCTAGCATGTTACACACTAACCTAGCATGTTACACACTAACCTGGCATGTTACACACTAACCTGGCATGTTACATACTAACAGCAGCATGTTACATACCAACCTGGTATGTTACATACTAACCTGGCATGTTACATATAACCTGGCATGTTACATACTAACCCAGCATGTTACATACTAACCTGGCATGTTACATACTAACCTGGCATGTTACATACTAACCTGGCATGTTACATACTAACCTAGCATGTTACATACTAACCTGGCATGTTACATACTAACCTGGCATGTTACATACTAACCTAGCATGTTACATACTAACCTGGCATGTTACATACTAACCTGGCATGTTACATACTAACCTAGCATGTTACATACTAACCTGGCATGTTACATACTAACCTGGCATGTTACATACTAACCTAGCATGTTACACACTAACCTAGCATGTTACACTAACCTAGCATGTTACACACTAACCTGGCATGTTACATACTAACCTGGCATGTTACATACTAACCTAGCATGTTACATACTAACCTAGCATGTTACACTAACCTAGCATGTTACACACTAACCTAGCATGTTACACACTAACCTGGCATGTTACATACTAACCTGGCATGTTACATACTAACCTGGCATGTTACATACCAACCTAGCATGTTACATACTAACCAGAAACAAAACATAGGCAGGTTCGCAGGGGTGGAAATAACCACCGCCCGACGCCCGAGTCCAGTGGTTTTTTTCTGTCGGGCAAGCAAATTTGTACCGGTGTCTAGTTGACGTTCCAATTTAATTTATGTTGCATTTATTTCAACAAAAAATCGGCCGGTATAGTGGAAGAATTATCAGGGCAAGTGACTTTACATATGCCACTGTACCGGAGTACACTCAGCAATTTAAAGTTGTTTCCACCCCTGAGGTTCGCCTTTCTATTTGGACATTACATGAAGACCAGCAGTTGCGGGAAGATCACTTTTCACCTTGGACACCCAGCCTAACCTATTTTGTTGCTGGTCAGTGGATATCTTCACCACTGACTTTATTGCTGTAACCGCTGCTGTTGTGTTATATTGTCGCTGTAATTGTTCTGCCACCCTGTTGTACTGCCACCCTGTTGCATGCCACCCTGCTGTACTGCCACCATGTTGTATGCCACCCTGTTGTACTGTCAGCCTGTTGTACTGTAACCCTGTTGTACTGCCAGCCTGTTGTGCTGCCACCCTGTTGTACTGTCAGCCTGTTGTACTGCCAATCTCTGTTGTACTGCCACCATGTTGTATGCAACCCTTTGCAGTGATTTGTATGGATTTGTAAACCTAGTTCATACTGTTCTGTAGTAGCTCTCGATGGTGTCTAGGAAGGACTCTATTTGGGGCGAGTACTCCACGTGTTCGGTGCCAGTCCACTTGAGTGCATTAGAGGGCAGACCCCACTCAAAAGTTCTTGTAAAAGAAGTCCTGGTACTTCTTATAGTTGGGGTCAACGATCATCTTGGCGTCTATAGCGGAGGCGATGATGAACTCGCTGTAGGTCTGCTCCAACTGACAATCAAAACACAACTTAATGAATTCAGTATATGCACTCAAATATGAAATCTGCTATGTTTTCAACCGCATTGTTTAACCTACGACTTCGATTCATCATTAATTATTTCAATGTTATTTCAAGGGGGAGGTTATCCGTGAGATGTTTAGTGTGTTATTTTCAACATAGTGAGTGAGGTTAGTTTTACGCCGCTATTAACAACATTCCAGCAATATACGGCGAAGGACACCAGAAATGGGCTTCACACATTGTACCCATGTGTTAAATCGATCCCGGGTGTTCAGCGTGACGAGCGTAACACGATGTGGAATTATACCGATCAAGTTATGACATTAATCTCTATGGATTGTGGGATGGTTTTGCAGAATGTTTCTTCAATTATACAAGTTACGATCTGGCAGTCTGGAATACGAAGTGTGGTAAGGGTTCATTATGGGGTCATGAAAAAGCGAAAAGGTTCCTTAATTAAACATAAACAGGAAAAAGAACAATTCTTTCTGTTCAATATCATTAAATTCCTAAAATTCATAAACACAAAATAACAATAGTTTACAAAGACTATGGATGCCTGTAAAGTGATAAACCGTATCTCTAATATAACATCTTGCTTTTGCAGACTCAAGGAAAGTGAATTTTCCTTTCGATTGTTCTTTGTAAGCCATCGCTCATATCAATAAACAAATTAAAATGGTTTTAAAAATGTTCCCTTATCATACTCCACTTCTTTACTTACATCAACGGTTAATCCAGTCGGGTCGATATCTGTGCCAGCTAATCTATAAGTGGAAGAGACATTGCATTAAAAGTATGTGCAATATCCATGTTAAAAAAAAAGACGTGAAATTATCATGTAAAACTATTTCTTTGGAACCACAATCAAGTATTACACATACATATGTTTAATATAATCATAATGTTCGTTCTGAACATGTGCGCCAATCAAATGAACTTGTATTTACATGCTCCGTGGGAAATGTAAATCTTGTCACTGATCTGTTGTCAATGCTTCAATCATTTGCAGTGTACGATGGCAAATATGTACACGTGTGCCGCGTTATTACAAAGCATTCCATACATACAGACATCTGTCACCATGGTTACCTACTTGATAGTGACGTTTGCTTTCCCTCAGTGTCTCTATCCTGTCGTCTGCTGCAGACCGGAAGTTGTGTAGAGGAGTACTTCCTCAAATATGGCCGAGTCCAAGGAGGTAGCTTCATTTGTGGTTGATCGATTTCAATGTACACCTTAAACGTTTTGGTGTCTGAAATTGATGTTAATTCTTTCTGGTAAGATGTCTTCTGAAATTGTTTTTCGGGCAATCAACCCAATAAACTTCCTGTCTGGCCAGTCTGGGCCTGTATTCCAGTGACCACATTAAAGAGCAGACGAGTCTTTAATATATGGGCGACTGTATAATCTCCATCTCCGTGTTTTTATGATATACCTTTCCACGAACAACTGGGTTGCAAAGATTTGCTTCATATAATTTCCATGGCAACGTAGACTTGTTACCACCTTTACTGTTAGGTATGAGATAGTCCCTCCTATCAGATGCCACCCCTGTACCTGCTGTATGTAGGGAGACTTGTTACCACACTTACTGTTAGGGTATGAGATAGTCCCTCCCTATCAGAGAGCCACCCCTGCACCCAAGCTGCATGTAGGAGACTTTGTCACACACTTACTGTTGGGTATGAGATAGTCCCTCCTATCAGATTTCACACTGTACCAAGCTGTATGTAGTGAGACTTGTCACCACACTCCTTACTATTAGGGTAATATGAGATAGTCCCTCCTATCAGATTGCCACTCTG